GCGTCACAAAACGTTTACACCTTGTAAGAGTCATACTGAACGACAAACTCGAACGCTTTTTTAATCTATCCGAGAGGAGGTCTCTTAAATCTGCAAACACGGACGTTCTCTTTAATCTTTTATCTCGGAATAAAAGTGTGTTTGGTGTTTGGACCAGACACTTCAAATACGCTTCCGTTCCGTGCGGCGTCGTCCGGCGATGAGCGCTTCCCAGTCCCCAAGACGCGTTAGCTGGGACATTGACCTGCCGCACCGCCAAAGGCGTGGTAATGGGATTCAATCAGGTGTCTGATTATTTGTGTACTGCATGATTGCAGCCCGGCTGGGAGGGTACAAATTCAGACGAGGGGTGAAGTTCTCTTCAGAACTGCTTCCAAGAGGACAGGGCGAACGATAAATCGCGATTTTCCTCAGTTTGTGCTTTAGATGAGCCGTAAACATCGGGTGGGAAACGACGAAAGACCACGCATTTTAAGGACAAAACGGACGACAAGCCGATTACTTTGTTGAGCAACCGAGGACTCATTTATTTTAACCCACATTGATTTATTTGGCGCTAAACGACGTTGGCTAACATGGAAATCATCCGGTCTTTCGGCTTCACCATCGACAATATTCTGTCTCCGGCGCCGGCGGCCCCCGGCGGCACGTGCTGCCCGCCAGCTCTGCAGCGCGCGGCCGGTCCCGGGCTCGGTCCAGGTCCCGCTACCGGCGGCGGGTACCCTCGCTGGTACGACTCGGGTCTCCCCCTCTCTTCTTTCCAGCGTGGGTGCCCATATGGATCGGGCTACAGCGTGTGCCACTGCGGGAGCTACGCGGGATACGGGTCGTGGAGCTACGCGCTGCCGGACTCCGGCGCGACAGCTGGCCCAGCCGGTAAGAGGCGGCACGGCCACCGTGATGATTCATACACGCCTTACAATCCAATAATCTTCAACCGGCTAGACCCGTGTTCACAAAACAGGGCGGTCTCCCGTGAAAAAGCTTAAATCGTGCACGAAAACAGGGCACATGTTAGCAATGAATGCAAGACCGACGGCGCTTTATCCGTGCAAACCACTCGGGTGTGCAACCGTTGACCTCTGTCCTCTCTCCCTCCTCAGACGGCGACCTCGGCGGCAAGCAGCGGCGGCGGTGGCGCACGGTGTTCACCCGCAGCCAGACCGAGCAGCTGGAGCGCGTCTTCGGCCGGGCCGACTACCCCAGCCCGCA